ACCTGTAGACAAACACAGAAAAACGCACACACACACAAACTAAACATCCATGCCCTGAGTGGGATTCGAACCCACGATCCCGGTTTCCAAGCGAGCGAAGACAGAACATGCCTTAGACCGCTCGGCTACCGTGACCGGCTACCGAACGAGAATAGTGAGTGATTTTATGGACACCACTGCTCTTGGAGACAGGTGGATTAACTTCTGAACATGCATGCAGCTGATGAATTTAGGGGGGCTTGAACTGTATTGTTCTGTAAGTTGCCGAACGGATAGTCGGTAAAATTGAAATTTTCATTGTGAAGTTGTAAATGTAATAATCTCAGGTTATCAGTTTAATTCCAGCTGGACTATTAAAAACAGCAGACACGGTCGGCCGACACTCAGCTATAAATAAACTCAAAGTCTCAGTTTGCAATAACGAAGCGTTACAACACTGAAAATTATCACGTATTATCCCTATTTGTAAAACTAACGACAGAAAAATTAGATTGTGATATTCTGGATTGTGACACCATATAATTTTATGGCTGGTTATTGACTTATCAGAGGAACTTTCTGGCTACACCTTTAAATTTGATGTGTTCATGAAGATGGAGGCAGCAAATTCCTCAGAAACGTCAATAAACATCAACAAGGTTACAAGCTCTCACAACCCGTAAGGTGAGAAGCCAATCCTTTACCCCCATACAACGTAAAATATCTTATGAAAAAACTTATATCGGGCTTCAGAAAATTTCACATCAGAGGAATCTCTTTGCCAACTTCATACAGTATTGTATCTGGTATCCTAATACTGGAAGTTGAATAATCAGTCGAGCGGATACAGTTCGAATATATTTGTCAACTAAAATATTTTCGAATAAGATAAACATTAAGTAAGAAATGTCGGCACCGGTCACGGTAGCCGAGCGGTCTAAGGCATGCACTGTCTTCGCTCGCTCGGAAGCCGGGATTGTGGGTTCGAATCCCACTCAGAGCATGGATGTTTGTGTGCGTTTTCCTGTGTTTGTGTACAAGTAGAGGCCTTGCGACGAGGTGATCACTCGCCCAAGGAGTCCTACCGTATGTGTAAGACCTAGAAAAACCGAAGTGAACGGAGTTCATGGAGGTAGGCCTAGGCCCACTGGGGCTGTAGTGCCAAGGGGGGGGGGAAAGGATTGTCAGCAACAACGGAAAACAACCATTTTTATGTTATCTAATGACTCTGTCCCAACTGCCTAGATTGTGTAGTGTTGGGAGATGCGGAAATGATAATGAATAGCCACTGGCCACAGATGGTCGTGATCCCTTTGAGCACACTGAGGAAAGTCATTAAGAACCTCAGTCAGAATACCCAATAAAGAGATACAGACTTGAATCGGATACTTTACCAAATCAAACACACAGGCGTAGGACATTAACATTATTATATCAATCTGTGATTTGTTCCTGGGATTTTCGTTCACATTAGTCACCAGTGCTGGTAGCATGAAACGGAGCAGAGACGTGGGAAATAAGAGGCACTGGCCAATTTTGAGGGGTTTGCCTCGAAGGAATGAGGAGCACCACAGAAACATGCGTTACCACAGACGGCCACCTCCAGGATTTCCGAATGCAAATTACCTGCGAAACCAAAATTATGTATCTATTCATTCTGTATGCGTTGTCTATATTCACTTTCGTTTGCTTTTTCCTTTCTTTGCCATTCGTCTTTCTTTCTCTCTCTATCGTTGGTGTTGTCCTCGGCCTGCACTGAATGGTCGGCTGGTCAGGGGAAGCGTTTGGGAAGAAGTCAAAGCGTGCGGCAGTCTGTCTTACTGGTCTTACTGGTCTTACTAGTTGTCAGTCTCGCCTCGGCGTGCCCAGGAAGCGGACGTGAAGATGAGAGGTATTTGACCGTTACCCAAAACAAGTTTCATTTAACTATGTGCAGTGGATAGATGTCGTTGCATCAATGGTGACCAAAACAAACAGATCGCAGCACTGAACCTCTCATACCGGTTGGTGTTTGAGAGGCGGAGAGTGTTTAGTGTGTGTATCGGTGATTGGTGTCAAGTGGGGTTAGTGATGTTGCTGCTCACAGATGAGGTAGGCAACCAGGACATTAATTTGCTTAGCACTCTGATAGGTTCCGTTACAGAGCATCGCTGTTTTATCAGTTTCAATCCTTTTTTTCCTTTTGTTTTTCCAGGGCATGAAAGGACAATTATAGCAGTAAAATTTGAGGTTATGAAGGTTTTATGTGTAGATGTGCATACTAATGTATTATGTGAGCATGTGTTTATGTTTGTACCCGTACGTATATGTGTAGACGTGTGTGTGCATACACACAGACACCTATATATGAACGTGTATGTATGGAAATGGCCATTTAGCTAATTTTCCTTCCTGTTTTTGACCATCTTAGTAATATATGGAGGTGGGAATTAAACTTGATAACCGTGATGGGCTCTCTTCAGTTAAGCAACTGCCGAAGACTGTGAAATCTGAAACTATTCTGACATTTGTGTGATCAACCCACAAATGAACTAACACACGCATGCATGTTTTTCACCACAGCGAATCAGGTTTATTGGAGTCATTGGGCTTTGCTTCACATATCACAGCATTGGGTATGGTTGAGATATGAGATAAAGCTGCTGAAAAGAACCTCTCGAACCCGTTAGATAGGAGGATCGACATGCTTGTAGTGAGAAAGAGAAAAATGGTTCACCTTGAATCCATTAACTTTACCGACTGAGGTATCACGGCAGCGTGTCCTAGTATTGTAAGATTTCAATTGAGTTCGATTGAATGTTGAGACAAACAGGTCTGAAAAGCTGCAGTGCACTTATTTTCAATTATGATAGTGCATGAACCAATAGCTTTGCTGCTCGTTATTTCCGATGAGAACGTATTTCTCGTGCTAGTGACCCTAAAGACTCACGTAACACGTTGAAGGATGAACGGTTGAATGATAGATGAGTGTATACTGTACTGTATATACTGTTGATGGTTAGATAGCTAATTGTCGAAAGAACAGGACACACTGATGGACGGGTAGACAGCATGCAGATGGTTAGATAGGAAGACATATAGATAGAGACGAATAGGTGGGCACACGGGTGGCTGGGTAAATTTTAAAAACAAGTTCTGGGAAGAACTTACTTTTGATACGGCACGGTCCACATAGAAAACGACACGCCCAATAATTCTTCTATCGTTGTGTGTGTATTCGTTTAAGCGATAACATTTTTACCGAGCCGTTGCCTAACAACGATATGAGGGTTACACATACAGACATACAGAGTGATAGGTTGGATTTATGAAGTATGCCGTTGAGATGGGTCCAAATGACATGTTATACATATCAAAGTTTAAATAAATAGTGATTCATGCATTCAAATTTTATGAGGGGGATAAGTAGACACACAGACAGCATGGTGATCCCATAAGCCTTGTTTTATTTTATTTTTTCAAAATAAGGAAAGTTGGGTAAAAACACTGACATGGATATCCATAGCTTATGTGAACAGAATGTATACAGAAGACATAATTTTCAACAGACAGCATGGTGATACCATAAGCCTTCTTTTATTTTTTTTTCAAAATAAGGAAAATAGGGTAAAAACACTGACATGGATATCCATAGCTTATGTGAACAGAATGTATACAGAAGACAATCTTCAACAGAAATTGAATGGCCTTCAGACACGTTCATTCAAGCACACGTTAACGTGACTGGGGAGCAGTTTTATAGTACATATTCTTCATTGGAGTTTCTGTGTAACGGACCGTACGTTTCCTGAAATCAAATTCCGACATTGCCCCTCTTCTAGCAGTCTGATATATGGGAACGTGAGTACTGCAGGCGCTGCAGTATTCATGAAGTTACATTCAGAGAAGTCGGAAAAACATCTGAAAACAAGGAGCACGGGAAAGTGCCAGGAAAGAATTTGCCTAGAAGTGCACGCACAACAAAATATAGGCTGTCAACATGACACGAAATCGGAGGCAGTATGGAAACCATAATATGAGTAACAAGGAGTACCCGATCCTCGCCCGGGACATGCCCGGGACATGCTTTCCTCCTAAATGCCACAATACAGTAATTGTATACTGAGCAAGCTGACTTAGGTGAGACTGCCTAGAAATGAGATGTAGCCTCTTATCGGGTGCTCGAGTAAAATATAAATGTATTATGAATAGTTCTAATTTCTGAGTCTAACGAAGTTTGTGGAAATATTTAGAATTATATTTAAAGTATTAAATTTTTAATTTATTATTCATTAATAGTATAGTTTTCACTTCTTTTTGCTTACACCCAACAGATCTAAAAGATAGATTTAGTTTTGTAAAAGAAACTTCAGAAGTTTTCTGAGTGGAAGTACAAGGAGTTGCCTTATATCCGAGGTTATGCGGACACAGTGTCTGTTGCTTGTGCTGCATCTTCATAGACGGTTCACGTTTTAATTTAAGAAATAAGTAAGTAAAGTGATTAAATTTTTATGTTTAAATGTAAGGGACTCTTTTAAAAGTTTCCGATTATTAAGGGATTGCCTGACAATTTTATACATGCCGAAAGATTTTCTTCAGTTAATAATGCTGGAGAGCTGGTGTTCTTTTCACGAACTGATCTTGCAAAAATCGATACCAACTTAATATTTATTTTTAAAAGAGGACACTTTCAATAAATGCCACCTTCTTTTACAGCAGTTGGAAGAAGATAAGGGTGCGAAGAATGAATGAATGAATAAATAAATAAATATATGTAAAACAGCCGTTTTAAAATATGTTGTATTGATAAAGTGTTAGGAAAAATATTGGGATCTGGAAAGGATGAAGGAAACAGACAACTACGATACATTTGTTACATAATGACAAGCGTCCTCACTTACACAGATGATAATAACAAGTATTTTCGTTGTATTGAAATGTAGGAAAGGGCGATATGCCGGGATGTGGTTAGGATGGGAGGAAAAAAACTATATACTCGTAGATCTGTAGCAAAACAGAATTTTTTACGAAACATTTCAGAGAACGCCATGTGCAGAGCCGCTGTATTACTTCTATTGTATGAGTAGTATGCCCTCGATCAGCTTGAGGTTGGGTTCCTCCAGAAAGGCGCAAGAAGTACATCCGCTTTGGACAATCTTAATGATTTATGGCTGAAAGGGTGATATGTGAACCCGGCCGTGCAATTTTCCGTTACTGCCTAGACAAGTAATTTTGTTTTACGGACCCGCGCGCACACACACACACAAACACAACAAAACAAATTGTTCTGCTTCTGTTGTATATTAAATAATAGCACAAAAACCATGAACGCTGTGAAATTTACATACGGTAAATAAAACAGCACGTTAAACGTTGTTCTCTTGTAAAATGTGTACCGAAGATATGATGAATTATTCCTGTTGCTGTTGTCGTAGTCATCGTTGTCGCTGTCGCTGACGTCATCCTCGTCGACGTCGTAGCCGTTGTCGTCGTCGTTGTCGGTGTCGTCATTTTCGTTGTCGTTATCATCGTTGTCGTTGTCATTGTGGTCTTTGTCGTCGTCATTGTGGTCGTTGTCGTCGACGGTGGCGGCGTTGTGGTAGTCGATGATAATGCGTTTAGAAGCAGAGGGCTTAATTATTTGAGTCCGATAAATGATTAGGTTCATCGGGAAGTTGGAGCCTGGCTTCACAGAAAGGGATGAAGACACACTCGGTTCAGAATCGCCAAAAGTTGGAGCGGAGGCGTTTGCTTTTTTGTGTGTAATGTTCTACTCGAATGCAATATGCCGTTGTTACTGAGCTAAGCACGATAGTTATATGCCGACTGTCAAGAAAGAAAGCGAGTCCCAAATTAAATACGGTTCGAAATTATAAGCTGTCTGAAGAATAATGAATTCTTAAGTTATTTAACGACATTGTTTCAAAGTCAAAAGTTAATAGCGTCGAACGGGACACAAATATCGTAAATACTCAGTAGTTTAGGATTTAGCTCTGTCCTATTTTAACCCATTTTCCTGGCAATTTCCCATAGAGAACAAGGAGGATCACTTGCGATAACCGGTGATCATGCAGGGTGTTGAATCGCGTACCTTCCGAAGACAAGTTGCCAAGGAAGCATAGTCAACTTTTATTCTTTTATCATACTCTTATCAGTTTTTGTGTTATTACTTTGCCATTAAACACTTATTTGTGGAAGCATAAGGTAAAGGTAAGGTGAAAGGTAAAGTTGTGTCCCTATGCTTAACTAATATGAACTATGCCATGCAGGCGTATGGGGGAGTTGATGTATACTATATCCCCATTTTTTGACCTCGACACTAGCTGGAGATGAGTTGTCAGCGTCACGCCCCGGCGCTTTACGCCCAGAGAAGAGCCCCCTTGTACCCATTTTGGGGAAGCATGTCTGAAGAAAATGAAACTATAAACGTAGGCAGGATTAACTGTCCTACCTTAGTGCTTGAGGAGAAAAATGCTGATATATTTTGCTTGCTGCATCCATGTGACCACGGAAACCTCTCCGGCAATCCTCACCCGCGGCTCAAGTTGAAGTTCATCAAAGTGACCTGATATTTTAGTAGCAATCAGCAGTTTTCATGACGGTGTCTTCCTTTTACAGCAAAGTATAGCTTTGTAATTGCTAATCTGACAGTGATTAGAGCTCGTACTATCTCTGAAGTCTATGGATCGAAGTTCCTCTACGTTTATACCGAAGTTAGACCTTACTTACAAAGAACGGAAATATAAGAGAATTTCGTGAAGGAAAAATGAAAACGTGTACCAGAATAAATGCAATGTAAGCGAAAATTTGAGGAAGGAACTAATTCCATATTCTGTAAATGGATGAACAGATTACTACAAAGTTAAATGTTTAACCCATTGTAGCTGAATTGGCAATGAGAGGCTCTCAAAAGTTGCACTTCCTAACGAACCAAAGGAATTCGGAGATACAGGGAGACCATTTGAGAGCCATACACGAATTCAAATCAGGCTTCATCCTAATTTGCGGATGCTCAAGGAAGAACAATTATCCTATAAGAGCGGTTTAATTGCACGTTGGATGTATGCCGACTTAAAAAGACGACTAATATCTAAGCAGCACACAATATATCC